GATTTCAGGAAATTGGGAAAAAATTGCATTTGGAATTGAACTACGTGGCCGCATAGTGTTACTAAATGTGGTCGCATAGGCCAAGTATAAAACTCCAAATTGGCCTTGGTATTGAGGCATGCAATCCTCGTTCAACTATGTGTGAACACGCTATCGTCTTCGCCCCGTTGCTTAAACCAAGTTGATCCACCTCATGTCTTCTTTCAAGCCCACATGAAACTTGTTTCTTTGCTTGTCATGGTCAATGTTTCATCCACTGTGGTTTGAGCAAGTAGTCCTGTTTCTTTAACCCTCTTCGTTGTGACCTAGTCATAGGCAATTTTTCAACGATCAACGAATCCTTTGTGCCATGAATCACATCATTTTCTTTATTGACAAATGTATACTTTTCTCAACAACTATGGTTAGCTTATGTTTACGATCACCACTCATGACTTTTTGATGAGTATTATTGCCAACTTATTTTTTTAGACTTTTACCGATCAAGAAAATGGTCAAGGAAAAACTCTACCATTTCCGACCACATATTGTTGGTAAGTAAAAAATCTCTATATCTCCTGACTAATTTACATTTTAATCGGTGAAACCTTTGTTTGTTGACTTTTGGCAACTAGCTGCCGACCAACATTTTCTAGTTAAGAATTGATTTTATCGACCAACATTGAACTTTTTATCAACCAATCTATGAGTCAACAAAACTCAAGTTTCTTGTAGTGATTTAAAATCAGATATTTTATTTTTTATTTTATTTTTTTTTATTTTATTTTATTTTGATAAAAGTTGATAAAATGTGTGATTGAAATGTTGTAGATCCCGTGAAATGTGTGGTTAAAATTAATTATTGATTTTGACTTAGATTAAATTCTGAGTTTTAATTTTCACCGAACATGAATATATTTTAGTGCTTTCTTTATAATAGTAGACTCGGTGTTCTCTTAATCTTTGAACGGTAGTTGTCATTTTAATAGGCTAGTTATTGCTTGTCGTTAAAAATGCATGAGTCTTTTATTTAATTGTTTTTTCTTATTGTTACATTTCAAGATTGAGAAGTGATTTGATACTCTATTTAGTGCTTGTTTGGATTTCATTATTAGTTCTTGAAATTACGAGTAGTAACAGTTATGGATATTACAAAACATGTAACTAAAATTTAAATTTTGAGTAAATTTAGACAAAAATATTGATAATGATAGTCTAATGAAAGGCAAACAAGGTTTTCTAGAAAAATTTTTGTCTTGAAACATTAGAATGTATTTGATTGACTTTATTTTTCATGAAAAATGTCATTGTCCACCTAAATTCCTACTTTTGAGTCTGATTGAGAATTTTTTTTCCTAGAAAACATTTTTAAACTTTTGATCATGTGACAATATTTTCCTCAGAAACAAAGAAAACTTTTTTTTGTAGGGATGGGTGGTTTTCATTTCAAGGTAATTCATTCTCTCATTCTCTCTTTTATTTATCCATGCTCTCTCTCATCTACCCACCAATAAAAAAAAAAAAAGATAAGTATAATATTTTCTAAGTTAAAGACTAAAAGGTGCCGCTATTTATATCCACAATTTTTATATATGCATCCCACTCTATATATATCCCTATTAAAATATTAAAAATTTAAAAAATTATTATTTTCATCCGCGTCAACTTCCAATATTATCCTTATTAAATTCATTTAGACATTATAGATCCATACAAATTTTATATATTCATCCCACTATAAATACATTCCCAATACAATTGCAAAATTTTTTAAAAATCATCATATTCATTCAACTACCATCAACATTTAATCTGATTCTTTCTTTTCATTTTCTATATTATCATGTCGGTGTTTTAATATTTCGTTGTAAAGGTTAGCAAATCTCTTTTCATGAATTTATAGGATTCTAACAAGAATATACTGCTCAAGCAACCAAACAAATCCCTCCTCAAATCATATGTTAATAATTTTATTTTACTTTTTTGCTTATAGGCTCATAATTTTGGTTGTTTGTGTTTCGTCTGATAATTTTAAACTTGTTTCCTTTTGTAATCTAGGAATATTTGGAATGGTTTTGAAATTTATTTTGAAACTTTTTGTATATTTTTATTGTCAAACCAATACTTAAAAAAAACATAAAAAAATAATATTCCGTTTGTTCATATCATGAAAGAATTAGAACTCTAATATTGTGTCGATTTTTTTTTTTAAATTTCAGTTGAAGAGGATAATTTATGATTAGGGTTTTATGATTTTAGATGAAAATGTTATTTTATTATTATTATTATTATTATTATTATTATTATTATTATTAGAATTTTAGTTAAAAATAAACTCTAAAAGCATATGAAAATGTTTAAAAGAATTTATGAAAGTAAATATGCCGCTCCGCAAGCAAGGAGTGAAAGGTTGTTTGATCAGACTTGAATGTATCTACTTATCGTATTTCTTAATAGTTTCGTAGCAGGCTTTTTCAAAAAACTCTATTTATTCTGGTGTGGATGGAAGCAGGCATATATTTCTTGGTTTTAATAGGACTCCTTGCAAGCGTTGTTTCTATATACTATTATCTAAGAAGAATCAAATTATTAATGACTGGACGAAACCAAAATGGTGGGTCGAGTGAATTCAATAATCGACGCCTGTTGGCATTCCAACCTTCCTAGTGGACGAAGTTAGAACAATATATTTTTATTTAATTTTATATATGTCTATTTAGGTAAATTTACATAAGATAAAAAATATAATATGATTATAATTTAAAAAGTGGATGTATATATAAAATCAGTGGATGTAAATTTCCGTACCCAAACTAAATCAATCAAAACACATTTAATTGCTAATTTCATACAATTAAGCTCTAGTTAATTGAATTGTCTAGAATTATTATTATTATTATTATTATTATTATTATTATTATTATTATTTTCAAGCAACTTCCATGCTTACAATCAAGCGCACATTTAAAAAAAATTAAAACTTATTTGATAATTTAGCAGCTAAAGTAAAAAAGAATTTTTAAACCTAAATCTCACAAAAGTCACTTGACGCAAAACTACATTTTATTTTCCATATTTGCCATAAAATAGGTGGCGAAAGGGCAGAAAAACTCGTTCCATGCACTCATAAGCAACTGGCACGTTGCACCATCCCCATTCAACCAGCCAATTACCATCTCCTATCCACGTCTTTCCTATTACACTTTCAAATCAAAATTCTCTCCAAGTTTCATTTTTGTAATTTGAATATCTACACACAAGATTTGAATCGTTGCAAATAAAAAGGAGTAGAAATACATATCTGCATATATATACATGACGGGCAAGAGAACGGTGTGGTTTGTGGTATAGCTTGCGGCAGTGGCATCTGTGGGGTGGTGCTTGTAAGTATTATGCCCTAGATCCAATCAACTTTGGACATAAATACTTTTATATATAATTAATACAATTAAATGGCAGATTTATTATTTAATTAATAGACAATTAAATAAATAATAGAGTCCGTAGATTCAAATATTTGTAATTTGTTAATCACAAGGAGTTGTGATTGTGAGATACAAATTACATCTGATTGAATCTTAAATCATCCGTGGTCGTAAGTAATAACGAGATACGGATATCGTTATTACGGATAGACCATCACGTGTGGCATTTCTTACTTGTGAAGTAAGTAGCTGATCTCACAAGTTAAAGTGTTGTGACACTTAAATGAACACGTGGATGTTTGTTATAGAACAAAACATTGGAGACCCGTCGAGAGATTCCACATGGATAACTATCTGAGTGTCAGTGGTTAATCTCTAACGTTCGGTAGTGAAATTGGTCCTTTGACTTGAGGTCGTCATAATACCTTATACGAGGACAGTCATACTTTGACGGTGTTGGATGTTGCTCTGAAAAGGGCCGCTAATACGATATCGTTCGGGTATGTCAAGAATCGTATGAAGGTTGTGATTGATCAATAAAGGATTCGTCACTCTTAGATAGTAGGAGATTATGATCTGCGTTTCATTTAATTAAGTCGATGATGAAATCCTTGGCCAAGGTGTACTCATAAGTCGAAAAAGGAGTTTTCGGCTTATATTGACTTAATAGTGGAGTGAAAGATATGATCGATGATCGAGATTGACACAACTCTATATCTCGTAATTGATCGGATCGTATTGACGAAGGGATTATAGTTCCACGATAAACGAACGAATTTGGTTTTGTCATACCACGTGATATTTTTCGTCACATGTATTGCCCTGACACATTGCTAGATGTCAATCAGGGACGGCGAATGTGAATTGACGATAAATTAAAAGGGTATTTTAATTTATCAATTTTGATTAGATCAAAATAATATTTCACGTCGTTAGGCATCGTGGTCGGGAACCTAATGGGTCACACACAAAAGAGAATTGGAAGATTGCAAATTGCCAATTGATTAATTTAACAATCGTTGGATAAATTAATTAATTGGATTTGTTATTTATATTTTCGAATTAATTAATTGGATTAATTAATTCACGGACCGGGTTTAATTAATTGGATTAATTAATTATTGAACCGGACCGGGCCGAACCTATTTGGGTTTATATAAATACATAACTAGGGTTTGAGGTCCATAAGAGTTTTTCATTATTCTTGCTGGCACAAGAAAAAAATCCTAGAGGCTGCAATCATATTCTCTGTGTGGATCACCGTTGGAGGTTGGACAATTAGACAGCTGTGATAGCGAATCAAAGTTGTGGAACGAAAAGAAAAGCAAAAGGATTGCAGATCTGAAAAGGTACAATCTTATCACAATTTCTATCTAAACACAAAGGCGATTCTTGGTGGGAATCGAAAATTATTTTAAATTCCGCTGTGCATGTATAAGTAGATTCCCAACAGTGGTATCAGAGCATACTTTGTGTTTGTTAGGAATTGATTTGCATGATTGAATAATCAAATGTTGATTGTACATATTTTTCTTGTTTTCTAGCAATTTGAAAATTGGATTTTCGGATTAAAAAAAAAACTGAAAAAAAGGGGGGATGGTGCCGGCAGCAATAGTTGCTGCCGGTGGTGGCGCGGGAGACGTCGCTACCAGGCAGCGGCGTCTGCCCTGGCTCCAGCAGCGCTTTTGCGCTGCTGGGCGGGTGAACGCCCGCCGCTTTTGGGCGGCGGGCTGTCGGGCATTGGGGCGGCGTCGGTCAAGAGAAACGAAAATAAAAAAAAAAAAATTTTGAATTTAGGGTTTACAGGTTTTGGGCGTTTGGAGGCGGGGGCCTCATTTGCAATTTCTGAAATTGCAGGCCCTCGCCTGCAAATATGATATTAGGGATCATTTTGCAATTTTATAACTGAGGGCTCTTGTGCAATTTTCAAATTTTGGGGCCCTCTATTAATTTTAAGTTTGGGTCAAATTGATGTTTTCAAAAGTTGTTTTGGATTTAGATATTAAAAATGGATTTAGATTTGAATTTCAAATGGATTTATTCTATAATTTTAATTTTGGCCCAAATTAAAATTTTATTTAAAATTGACGACATTTTATATTTTCGTTAAAATTGGATTTTGACTTAAATATTAAACTTTGACCCTAAATTGAATTTTATTTTATTTAGGAATTTCATCGTAAATTAAAATCTTAATTCAATTTAAGTTAGAATTGGATTCTAATTTAGTGTTTAATTAAGATTTGATTTTAATTAAATTATTCGCCCAAAGATATTTAGAAATTAGAATTGGATTCTAATTTGATGTTTAATTAAAATATGATTTTAATTAAATTGCCTTGCCCTAAATTTTCTTCCTGGAATTAGAGTTGGACTCTAATTTGGTATTTAATTGAAATATGATTTTAATTAAATAATTCCACC